TGTCCCCTGGGCCAGCTCCTGCTGCTCCAGGTGCACAAGGGGCCCTGCCGGGGCCTCCCCGAGAGCTCCTGGTACCTGGAGAGTGTCACCGTGTGGGGACAGCGAGGGGACAGCGCTGGGGACAGCGCTGGGGACGACAGCGACGACAGCGGGGACAGCGCTGGGGACAGCGGGGACAGCGAGGAGGAGGAGGAGGAGGAGGAGGAGGAAGAGGAGGAGGAGGAAGGGGACAGCGAGGCCGAGGTGACAGAGGATGAGGGGACAGGGGACAGCGAGGAGGAGGAGGAGGAGGAGGAGGAGCCCGAGGACACCACAGGTGACACCGACACTGCCACCACCGGTGACGTCAGCGCTGCCAGCACAGGTGAGGGCGGGGACAATGCAGGGACACCTGGGGATGGCACAGGGGACACCTGGGATGGCTCAGAGATGTCACCTGTGTCACCAGTGATGGCACAGGGGACACCTGGGATGGCACAGAGATGTCACCTGTGCCACTGCAGGGACACCTGGGATGGCACAGGGGACACCTGGGATGGCACCTGTGCCACCAGTGATGGCACTGGGACACCTGGGATGGCACAGGGGACACCTGGGATGGCTCAGAGATGTCACCTGTGCCACCAGTGATGGCACTGGGACACCTCAGATGGCACAGGGATGTCACCTGTGCCACTCCAAGTAAGGGCGGTGCCACTGCAGGGACACCTGGGATGGCACTGGGATGTCGCCTGTGCCACCAGTGATGGCACTGGGACACCTCAGATGGCACTGGGGACACCTGGGATGGCACAGGTGATGTCACCCCCTCAGGTGACACCTGTGCCACCCCAGATGACCCTGATGACGTCACTCACCTGGGCCCCTTCCACTTCCCCTGCTACCGCTGGCTCGAGGGCTACGGCACCTGGGAGCTGCCCGAGGGCACAGGTGGGGACACCTGGGGACACACCTGGAACACCTGGGGACACACCTGGGGACACACCTGGGGACACACCTGGGGACACTGGGGACACACCTAGTGGATTTGGGAACACACCTGGGGGACACTGGGGATACCTGGGAGAGGTTGGGGACACACCTGGGACACACTTGGGGACACTGGGGACACACCTGGGACACCCCTGGGGGGGTTGGGGACGCACCTGGGGACACTGGTGATACCTGGGAGAGGTTGGGGACACACCTGAGGATACCTGGGGACACACCTGAGGACAGCTGGGGGCACTGGAGACACCTGGGGACACACCTGAGACACACCTGGTGACACTGGGGACACACCTGGGGACACTGGGGACACACCTTGGGACAC